CTGCTGATTTGGGGGAATGTTTTGGACAAAGGCCTTTTGGTTTGGTATTTACGGATTCACTGCATAACAGGTGTGGTTTTCATGGGGAGAACAGGAAGAAAGTAACATCAGGTGAATTTTCCACTTTATTTACTTTCAGCAAAGTGCAGGAAACCTATAATAGACTGAGTTGTTCTTGGGAAGAAGTGATTGGCAGGGAGGTAAACAGTGTCCAAGGCAGCTGATCATGTGTGAGAAGGAGCTCCTCTGCTTGTACCATGGAGCCCAGCCTCGAAGCTCTGTGGAGATAATGGATGAGTCAGTAACTGTGTCTGTGAGCATCTTGGCAGCAGAACCCTAATGGAGTTCCTAATGTCCCCTAGCACTCCCACGTGAAGGAGACATACAGCCCTTGGCTTAGAGCTTGGGCAACAATTATCGCACCTGATTTTGACCTGATTAACATGTGTCAGCTTCACGGATAAGGCATTTCTTTGGAATTCAACCTGGCAACTCAGGACTTTTTAAATTAGTTGCAGGGTGGTGTGTTTAATCATCTGTAAGGTGAATTTATGAATAAAGATCTTGATACTAGCAGAGAAGTAAGAGTGAGATGCTGGGGCCAGATATTAAAGTTCTGCAGGTGCTTTGAGTGGATGCTGTCACATCTCTAGGTGCAACTTCATAGGAGGTCAATGTCCTTGGAACGCCCTCATTTTCTTCAATCTTTAAGGATGTCCTGGAGGAAGTTATCTCCCTACCTTGTGATCAAACAGAAAGCCTTTCATTCCAGATTTAGGTATAAAGATGAAAATATAAATTCTGTGCTCCAAATGCAAAGTTGAAATTGGTTGCAGCACCGCAAGGGGCAGCACAGTGTGGTAAGAAGATGTGCTGGGTGCTCAGGGAAGTTAGCGAAGGGGCAAAACAGTGAGCATAGGAGTACGGCCTCTACATGCAGTCCCGCTGGTGCTGTCCAGGTATAATTTTCATAAATTTTGCAAATCAAACGTGCATGCATTTCCAGGGTTGTGGTTTTTTTTTTTTTTTTTGTAGGGGAAAGTGTTTTTATTTGGGATCTCATTCACTGCATTCATTCCATTTTTGTAAAAGGGACAGCAAAGTCTTACAGTTCTAACCGTTTACTGGATTTCAGTGTGGTTGCACACAAGTTCAGTAGACAATGGGTCCCCCTCTTGGTCCATTTTCTGTTGCTATGACAGAATACCCTCAAACCAGGTAATTTCTAAAGGAGAGAGGCTTATTGAGCTTAAGGTTCCAGGCTTTAAGTCCAGGATCATGTTACAGCCTCTGGAAACAGTTCTGTGCTATGTCACATGGTGAAAAGGCAGGACAGGTGGGTTTGTGCAAGAGTCAAAGCACAAGGGAATGCTGTTTCCTCTTAGTTCCATGGGAACTAATCTGGTTACGCTGGAGCAAGAACTCGGCGCATCCTGGAGAGAATTAACCCTATCTCAGGAGAAGGTCATTAATCTCTTAATGACTTAACCATCCCTCAGGGACGTCGCATTGGGAACTAAGGGTCCATGAACATTCCAACCACAGCAGGGTCCTTCCCGCCAGCTGCAGGGCTGATTGATGTGATCCCTTTAAAGTCATCTGGGTCAACTGGAAAGTGAATGAGAGGTGCACGGTTAGTGACCTACAGCAAAGGGACAAGGTTTATATCCACATAAGAGCATCCCTCAAAAAGTTCATGGAGAATACAGTTCAAAGATCAGTTTCTTTTAGTGCCTGAACATTTTAAAGCATGCACACATGCATATTAGTTTTTCCATTCCTGCTGTAATAAATTACCTGCAACTATGTACCCCTACCCTCAACATTATTATCTTTTCCTTATAGCTCTGGAGCCTCCAAGTCTGAAATGACTCTTCATGGGACAAGAATCAGGCTGTCAGCAGGGCTGAGTTCCTCCTGGAGCCCCAGGCCCCAGGGGAGAATCTGTTTTCTCACGCTTGTCAGCTCCTGGGGCTGGCTTGTGCTCCTTGACTTCTGCTTCCTTTCTTCCATCTGCAAGGTCTACACCAGTCCTTGCTTCCATCTTTCTATCTCCTTTTCTGATTTGTCTATACAATTTACCATGGAGCCATTGGAAAGTCAGGCATACAGAGAGGAGAAACAGAGAGGAAGATCTTCTGTCTACTGATTCTCTCCCCTAGTGGCTACAATGGCTGGAACTGAGCTGATCTGAAACCAAGAGCCAGGAACTTCTTCCAGGTCTTTCACACAGGTGCATGGTCACAGGGCTTTGGGCTATCTTTGACTGCTTTCCCAGGCCACAAGCATGGAGCTGGATAAAAAGTTGAGCAGCCAGGATACAAACTGGCTCCCATAAGAGATCCCGGCACATGCTTAGCAAGGATTTAGCCACTAGGTGCTGGACCCACCATGTAACCATTTTAAAGTGTGTAATTTGGCAGTATGAAGCACATTTGTGACATTGTGCAGCAGTCGCCTCTATCAGTTTCCAAAACCCTTTCATCAGCCCTGACAGGAACTCTGTACCTCATGAAGCAATAAATCCTGTTTCCTTCTCCCTTTGGTCCCTGCCAACCTCTATTATATTTTCTGTGTCCATGAAATTGCCTATTTTAGGTAGTTCATAAAAGTGGAAACATACATCTGTTTGTTTATTTCATAGTGTATTGGTCGACTTTTTGTTACTTTAAAATATCCAAAAGGAGTTCTTGGCTTGTTTTGGCTTTAGAATGTAGAATTTAGAGTTTTGGCTTAGAATTCAAGAATGGAGACTGGCAATGGAACAGCCATCATATGATGTGACCCAAGAACCAGGGAGAGAGACACATGCCTATCCTATACAAGAGACCTGCCTTCCCAAGAGCCCCTGCAGATCTAAAGCCCTCCCACCAGGCTGCCTCTCACACACTATAAATTAGATCAAGTCTTCACCTTTTATCTATCAGCTGTTAACATACATGTTTGTGGCTGGAGAACCAAGGCCTGTCCAATCTATAGCACTTAACCTAATGTTGTCAAGGTTCACTCATGTTGTAGCATGATTCAGAATGCTGTCCCTTTTCATGGCAAAATGATATTCCATTGTGTGTCTAGACCACATTTTATTTATCCATTTGTTTTTGCTGAATCTTTGAGTTGTTTTCATTGCTTGGCTGTTGTGAATAGTACTACAATGAACACTGTACTACAGGCATCTTAGTTCTTAGTTTGCACTCTATCTGGCATTGCAGTTTCTGAGTCATGCAGTAACTCTACATTTAGCTTTTTTAGGAACTGCTGAATAGGCTTCTGTAACAGCTGCACTAGTTTACAGTTCTACCAACAGTGTATAGGTGTTCTAGTTTCTCCAAACCCTCAACAACATTTATTATATTCCTCCTTTAAAAAGAGTTTATCTATCTATCTATCTATCTATCTATCTATCTATCTATCTATCTATCTATTTATCTATCTGAAGGGCACAGCGATAAAGTGACAGAGAGGGAGAGAGAGATAGAGAGACAGAGAGACAGAGAGATCTTTCATTTACTGGCTCAATTCCCAGAGCCAGGAACACTATTCTGGTCAGGAGCACAAGTACTTGGGTCATACTCTGCTGCCAGGTGTATTAGCAAGAAGCCAGATTGGAAAAAGAGTAGCTAGGACTCAAATCAACACTCTGACATGAGCTACCAGCAGCAAAAGTTATGGATTCATCTGCTTTGCCACAATTCTGGCCTCTATTTTCCATTTTTTAAAGTTACAGTCCTCCTAGTAGGTGTGAAGTAGCAGCTCATGAATTGAGTTTACATTTTCCTAGTGACTAATGGTGTACTGAGCATCCTTTCATGTGCTTGTTGGTCATTTGTATATCCTTTTGGGATTACAGTCCTTTGCCCATTTTCTAAAATTATTTATTCATTTATTTGAAGGCAGAAAAGGTGAACACCCTTTCATCTGTTGGGCCCAAAGCTGGAAGCTAGGAGCCAGGCATGAAGCCCCGGTCTCCCATGTGATGGGCCAGAACCCAATTATTTGAGCCATCACTGCTGCCTCTCAGAATCAGTTTTAGTGGGAGGTTGGAGTCAGTAGCCAGACCTGAGAGTCAACCTCAGGCTCTCCAACGTGGCAGTCAGGCATCTTCACCATTAAGCCAAACATTGGTTCTCTCTTTGACCATTTTAATTCCTTTGTTGTTGTTCAAGGTTGTAGGTGTCCCTTGTATTTTAGACCTTTATCCAATAAAATGATTTTTCCCCATTCTGTGGGTCGTATTTCCTTCTCTCATGATAGTGTCTTCTGACACACAAAGTTCTCCTCCTTCTGTATTAAGAGGACCATTGCAATTATCCCATCAATCCAGGATAATCTGCCCATCCCAAAAGCTTTTGCTTAATCACATCCACCTAGTCTGCTTCTTATGCCATGTGAAATGATAGTCATGAGTTTTGAAGATGCAAGAGCAGTGTGCCATTATTCAACAAGGAGTCATTATTGTACACATTAAAAATGCCCACAAAATGCATTGTAGCAAAGTGGGTTAAGTCCCAGCTTAGGAACCAACACAATTTCAAAATGCCTGGGTTGCAGTCCCAATCTCTGTTTCTGATCCAACTTCCTGTTAATGTGCTCCCTTAAGAGGCAACAGGTGTTGAGTTCTGGTCTCCTGGATTCAGGCCAGCCCAGCCCTGGCTGCTGTGATCATCTGGGGGAATGAGCCAGTAGATGGAAGATTCTCTCTCTCTCTCTCTCTCTCTCTCTCTCTGTTCCTTGCTCTACCTTTCAACTACAGAAAACAGTCTACAACGTCAGGACTTGTGAGTCTACTTACATGAGAAGAGGAAAGCACGCGAGTTTGAAGCAGAGAGCCACATTTGTGTTTCATTAAGGTTCTATTCTGACTTCATTTATTCTCTCTATCAGGGACTCTGTGAACTATATCTTAAAGCCTGCTCTTTATTGCAGTGGGGCTAATTGTCTTTCCCCTTTTCTTTCTATGGGTCTTGAATATAGAAATGAACAAATCACTTTGTCATCAGCCTGAATCCAAAGCCATTTTATGGAATATCAAGAAGACAGGAATGCAGTGAATATATGTTCGTACGAGCCAATGTCTCAGATTTCTATTTGGACCTGACTCAGAAGGAAAAATGTCAGACATGGGAAGATTGATGAGACTAGGTCTCTTGAAGCCTTTGTGTTCCTCAGGGAATTCATGAATACTCAGAGGCGTGTTCAGAGAAGCTTCGTGAAGGTATGTACTTCTGTGCCCCCTTCACCTTTTCTTCCTTATATAAGCTATATCTCCTTTCTAATCCCAGCACCATCACAGCACTCTGTAATTATGGAAGCTGATCACTGTGCATTGGGTGGGAAGGTGAGCAGGCAGGGAGAGCACCCCATGTGGATAAGAACACAGCACCAAATGCTGAGCAAGCACCAAGGGAGAGCCTTACAGGTAGCTTCCTGATCCAATAAGTCATGAGACCTGAGAAGACAGATGCTACTGATGTTTAAAAAGCCTTAAAAATGAGTGTGTGCATTGGACATAGTAATAGGAATCTAAACAAATCATCAGTTATATTTGTCAGCACTGTTTGTAGCTGTCAAAAACTTGGAAACATCTCAAATGTCCAACCACTGGGACGTGGTTAAGGAAACAATAGCCTGAGATGCCAGCATTATTGTGCAGCTATTTCACATGTAAATGGAACATTTGAAAATATTGGAGAATGAGTATGATAAAATACAACAGAGAAAAGCAAGATTCTGGGTTTATCTGATGATATCAACAAGATAAAATAGTGATAGGGATAGGGAAAGAACAATCAAGAGAGCACACCAAGTTCTTCTATTATCAATGGTGTTATTCAACAACAACCGTGGAGGCTGCATCCTACTTCTTTTTTTTTTTTTTAACATCCCACTTCTTGGTGAGTTGCATTTGCAGCAGATGATGGTTGCGTTTGTGGTTGTTTTTTCGGGGTGTGTGTATGCTTAATTATAGAGCTAAACTATTTTTTAAATTGTGAGAAAACCATAGCTAATAAATACCTTATTTAAATCACTATAGGAATTGCTTTCTGAAATTTTATGTAAAAGTAGAAAGGCTAGAAATGAAAATAATAATCGAATTTTTCTGCCTCCCTCACTCAGTGTCTACCTATTCCAGTGAGTTAAGTGATTAAATTTGATTGCATGTAGGCTAAGGCTTTATTAGGCAGAGACTCCTCATGTTTCCTTCAATTGGAGCTAGCATTTAGCCCAGTGGTTAGGACACCCACATCTTACATCAGAGCATCTGGGTTGCTCCATCTGATAACTCACTCCACAAATAGCTGCAATGGCTGGAACTGAATCGATTCAAAGCCAGGAGCCCAAAGCTTCTTCTGGGTCTCCCACGGGGATTCAGGGTTCCAAGGCTTTGGCCCATCCTCTAGTGCTTTCTCTGGCCACAAGCAGGGAGCTGGATGGGAAGCAGGGCTGCTGAGACACAAAAGAATGGCCATATGGGGTCCTGACGCATACAAGGCGAAGACTTAAGCTCCTAGGCTACCATGCCGGGCCCAGCGGTACCCTTTTAACCACTAGAAAATAGTTCTGTGTTCATTCTGTATGCCCATGATCATTGCACAATCATCACCATGACGCATCTCCAGCCCCCACTGACTTCCTGAACCCATAAAATACTCCCATGCTGCTGCCCTGAATCCCACCTCACAGACCTTGGCAATGACTCCTTCTCCCCCCAAGAAGAACCCCACAGGGCTAGTCCTTTTGTGTCTGACTTATTGTGACATAGCCTAATGTCCTCAAGGTTCTTCCACATTATAAAAGGACAAACCTTTTTCGGGGTTTGGTAATATTCCATTATAGATATAGATTTATGCTTTGCTGATTTTTAGCTTTCCTACTCTCTGAGTGTTGGTTTCCTTCTCCTCCCTTGTGCCAGATCAGTCCCCTGTGCCTCTTGGACAATTGGTGAAAAATAATTGTCATCATTAACAACTCCAGATGTTTACTGAAGAGTTGGGTAGATTGACCCAAATGTCTTATCCCAAATTAAATCACTGGGGAAAGATTTTTTGGCTCAATTTGGGGAGGAATTTTTCTCTACCTAGTGTCTCCTAGGTGCTAGGCACCTGTAAATGATGTCTATATGGTTGAAAACAGAGTAGGCAAAACTGTTGTCATGAAAATCACATCCCAAAACATTGCACTTACTTCATGCTTATTGCATAAGCACCCGCCACAAACTAGTCCCTGCCCTTGTACTAGAGATACAACAGTCAGCAAAATGCACAAACATATAATCAAGTATGTAAGTCCTCATGATAAATTAATTACTCCATTTAGTCTGTTGTCTAGATTTCCATGTAAGTACACAGCACCACGGATTTGATCTGGCTTGAATAGAAGGAAAAATGTTGACATGAGTGTAATGAGCTTTGTTTTCTAGCTGTTATAGACTTATAATCATGCAGATAACACAGAGTTCCCATCTAATCCATCATCTGTTATGCCCATTTTACATGGCTATGGTACAGTTGTTATAGTTAATGAACCAAGTAACCAAGTAACCTGGTTACTAACTAAAGTCTGTAATTTGCTCAGATTTCCTTAGCTGGTTTCTAATGTCATTTTTCTGTTCTGCAGTTCTATCTTGGATGCCTTAGGTGCCTGTAATCCTCCAATCTCCTTAGCCTGCTCTTGGCTGTGACAATTTCTCACACTTCCCTTGTTTTCATTTTTGATTACCTCAGGAGTTCTGAGAAGTATCTACTGGGTATTTTGTAGGATGCCTCCCTCTGGAATTTGCCTAACATTTTCCTAGAGATTAGATTGAGGCTGTGGGTTCAGAGAGGAAGACTACAGGAATAAAATGTTGTCTTTTTACCATAACACATCAAATATGCATACTCTCAATATGACTTAGCGCGGTGGATGCTGATGTTGACACTCGGTGCGGGTGACGTTTGTCATGTGTTTCCCCTTTGGTCCCATGCTGTGCTCCTTAGAGGGAAATCAGTACGAACAACCTGTACTTAGGGGTGGTCTCTTGCTTTCCCTCTTTGACTAAAGGATTCACCTTTATTGAATTTTTTTTCTCATTAATTCACGGGGTCATGGCTTTTTCTTTTTTGGAGGGAGGTTACACAGGTGAAGATATCTTTTTATCACAGCATGTCAACAGCCGTGATGGCCACATGGCTGCCCGTCATGGTGGTTCACCCTGCTTGCCTGGCTCAGGTAGAGTTCCTTCACTGTGTAGGTATTTCCCTTCCCACTTTCCCTGGTATTTGGAAGGAAGTCCCGGAGCGTATCCCATGTTTAAGAGAGGGAGTGGGAATTATGCTTCCTTACCTTTGTTTTCAACAGCTTTGTTGAGTTATAATTGACCTGCCATGAGATCCACCTGTTTTAAGTGAACAATTGGATGGCTTTTAGTGAATTTATACAGTGCCTGAGGGAACTGGTCTTTGAGTTGACATCCATAGGAGAAGAATGATTTAACTAGCAAAAAACAGTTTCTGGCAGCGGTGACACCATGAGCCCCTGCAGGCTGTATATGGCACATTCAGGAAATGTAGGTTAAGCCTGAATCACCGAGAAAAGGTAAAATATGTCTCCATACATCATTAATATGCTTCATATGTGATATTTAATATTTTTTCAAAACAATTGAAAGTCAACACCATTTTAGTACCTCTATGCATAAATTGCAGTTTTGTGAAACACTTGTCTAGAACAATTCGCTCCCTGATGGTTTATCCAAGATTTTACTGTAATAATAAGTAAATATTAGGCTAGTAAAATTCAGACTGATCCCTGAGGGGGAATAAAATTGTAATAAAATTTCCTCCTTCTTGAAGTCTTGTTTCAATGAGAATGCAAGGCGTGTGTTCTCTGTGCTTTCTCTGATAAAGTCCTTGATTTATTTCCCTTTGCAACAAATGCACCACAGTAAAGTGAAAATGAGAAGGAAATCCAGGACTGGAAAGGAGAGAGGAGTTATATTTAGAAATATTCAGTTCTGCTCATATAAACTTCAAGTCTTTAAAAAAAGAATAAATAAGTTGACAAAAGCACTGAAAACCATGAAAATAGCCCTGTGGGCTATTCCCACAGGGGAAGTGCCCAAAAGGCTCTCTCAGGACTCATGTGGCACATTGAGAATGCTTGGGCCCCATCAGCTGAGCTCAGCTAGAACTGGCATGGCCATGTTACAGCAATGAAGAAGTCCTTTATGAGGCTTCATGACTTCATGCAGTGGGTCATCAATGGCTGCAGGTCACATGGCTCTCCTGTAATAACTGGGTAAGGTATCAAGGCCCCATCCCTCTTGTGACAGTATCCTCTTCCTCTTGTGGCCTCGTGTGACAAGCAAAGGAAGAGACAGTGTGATAACATGATAGATTCTGTGGTCATGCCTAGAAGTAAGGTACTTTGCTTTTGCTCAGACCCTTTTGGTGAGAACCTAAAACACTGGCCCAATGTGAAGTCAAGGGAGCCTGGGAAATGAGCAAGGGTGGGAATGCCAGAGGAAGAAAGTAACATAGTACTTGGTGAACATACACTTGTAGGATTGTCTTTGCCATGAGTTCTTCATTTGGTTTTAATGGATGCTTTCAAAATGAGTGAAATGTGAATATAAAAAAAGTTATATAATAATCATCCCCCTACGGGTCTCTCCTAATCTACACTCCCGTGGGCCCTGATTCGCCTCTCTCCTTGTTCACATCACTGTCTTCCGCCTACCTATGTGATTCAGGAGAAATAAAGTCTGGAAGATCCTCCTGAATGTACAGGTTTTCCTGTCAATACTTGTATATCTGGAGTTACTGAGGAATGCATGCCTAAGATGCTTACTTCTAAGAAACACTTGGCCTGACAGACTAGCAATAGTTTTTTTTTTTTTCTCCACTGGAATTTAAATTCCAGTGTACTCACTTATTTATGTACTTATTCTGGCTGACTGCAATTTTCAGCAGGGGATGTGGGTTCAGATCTAGCTCTGTGTCCTCTTGTCTCTGAGATGTCAGACAAGTAGCAGACTCTTCTGAGCATGATTTGCCTCATATTAGAAATAACTATCCGCTATTTGTCCCATGTGGTATTAGCAACATTACAAGAGTCTAGTATTAACATTCCCAGGTTACTGGATATGCATGACATCTCAGTGTCCATCCCTGGAACCAATCCAAGGAGGATTTAAAATGTGTGTAATGTAACCAGGATC